CAGGCGTACTTTTGGGAATTTAATGTAACCTTGTTTTTGTAAGTCTAGAATATATTCGTCCAATCAAAATTATAATTTGCAAATGAAGCTTGGAGGCCGTGGAAGTTTATACACCTCAGAAGCCTTAGAGTTGTCCAACAACGTGCAAACAAGCTCCTTCAAGGATAAGACGACCTGATTAACGAGACACGATTGCCCCATCTAGACCTTTATCTTTTGGACTATAGGCGGTTATGCAGTGAAAGAATAGAGGCGTTCGGCATGTTACCGAGTCATTATTGTTGCCTGGCATCCGGCAACCTAATTGAGCTTGTCCGTGTGACAGTTCAACCGTCGATATCGACGATATCCACCACGGCTTACACGAATTAAAGCAACGCGGTCACATCCGCGAGAAAAACAGCGAGGCAACCTCGCGGAGGATCTGTCGAAAGGAGAGATAGTCGACTACATAATGTTCCCCAAGTCAAGTCAGTTAGACTAAATAGGTAAGATAGTATACTGTGAAAAGAAGCTTACAGAGGGTTCTGCAGAAACAAGCTGTGCAAAGAGAATAAGCCAGTTGACGTGTGCGTTGTTTGTGTGTCTGCGCAGAGGATAAGGCATCTGAGGGCGCCCGCCAGCCATTCAGCCATTCAGCGAGTGAGAATGAAAAATACAAGACGACCTTGAGACATCACGTGACGGCCACACCTGCATTGTTTGTGGGCAAAGGCCTGATGAGTCACGCAGGGCGCTCCAGAGAATTGGCCGGGCGTCGGAGATTCACGTATGGGCCTGCAGCCGGGCATGCCATAAGCGTCAGCGCAAGGCTAATCACAGGAACGCTACAAATCTACGTCGCTTTCTGATCACTCCCACAGCGGGACACGGTTGTCAAGACAAAGTCAAGAAGGCCGGAAGTGCGGGACAGCGCAGGCGGCTGGCGTGACATACCCTTCCGGGAGATGTGGCGACAAGGCCAACTCTCCCAGGACTTCTTTGAAGCAACAATTGTTGGCCTCTACAAACAAACGGGGAACCGTTGTTCAATTTTGCTGCTCAACATCCCTGGCAAATCTTAACTCGTATTCTCCTGAAATGCCTCAACAACCACCTGGAATAAGGACTCCTGACGGAAAGCCAATGTGGTTCTCGCCGTC